ATTAGGAGCAAAAAATCATACTAGGGTTTATTTTCAGGTTAGGTCTTATTTTAGGGGAAATAGGGTATATATCACCCCATTACTTCTCAGGGAGGTTTTAGACCAGTCAAATCTTGCACAGCATACTGTAGATCAGTGGTTCTTAACCTTTGTTACTCGGATGCTTTTGAACTGCAACTCCCAGAAACCCCAGTCAGGACAGCTGGTGGTGAAGGCTTCTGGGAGTTGCAGTCCAAAACTCCTGAGTAACCCAAGGTTAAGAACCAATGCTGTAGATTATTTCTAAATGGGAAAGCATTGCTTACTTGCATTTTATGTTCAAGTAAAACCAGCATGTAGGAGATAAATATTTCTGGGGAACAGGGTGGTCACCCTATGTATTAATGATGGGATAGCTGTCTGGGTAACTCAGTGTGTTAGATATCTGGCTGCAGAGCTAGAGACTGGGAGTTAAATGCCCCACTGTGTTTCCCAGGAAAAAAAACCAGCCTGTGTAGCCTTGAGGAAGCTGTATAATCCCAGGGCACCTTCAGAAGAAGGAAAAGGTAAACCTCTTCTGAGATCTAGATACAGTGAGTTCTGGGATTTGACAGAAATCAAGAGTTCTAACTAGAAAATGCTGGAAAGGTTTGCCATAAGTTAGAGTTGGCTTGACAGTGTATGTCTGCATGCACACCCACCCACACATTTTCAGATGAGAATTACTCTACCCAAAACATGGAATTTTATAGAGTCGAGATGTTATATCTTATTTCTAATCATCAGAGCTTTAACCCCACCACTTCTGTCTCTTTTCATACCCTCCCACACACATCTGTTTAGACAGAATACCTGCACAATGCCTTCTGACTGGTGTTTCTAACTGGCTGACTGGAAGGACTTAACTGACTAGGAATGAGGGAATTGTTGATATTGGAGCTAGGCCAATTTACACAAGCTGTGTGTGAGGTCTACTTTAAACTATAGCAAAATTTATTTTGGTTTGTCCTCTGTAGGCTCTTATGCAGAAGATACCCTTAAAAAAGACAAACAAGCCATGTCTTCCTCTTATGGTGGGGGTTCCTACTTGAAATCAGAAACAAATGGTAAGCTCTTGATGGGGAAAACAAAAGTTCCTTCCTTTGAAATTCTTTTCATATACGTATACATATAGATGTAACTATGTACATATGTGTATATTATCATGAATATGTAAGCCACCCCGAGTAGACGTTGTCTAGAGGGGCGGGGTAAAAATCGAATAAATAAATAAATAAAATAAATATTATGCATTTGACTATTTCCCAGTAGGATTGTCAATTGAACTTGTCTATCATTTATGGTTTCCTAACCAGAATAGCCACACGTGCAGTCTTCTGCTCCATTACACTCATGCACACCTATTTCACAACAAGGTCATGTCTAGGAAACAATAAAGATTTACCTGTTTCAATTTTTTGAGATGGAAGTAAGATTATGTCCTAAATTAGGCCCTATCAAAGTGTTTATTTTAAAAATCTTTTTAAATTACATTCCTTGAAGCTGTATATAGCTGTTTTGCATCTCATATCCCTCCCACCCCTTTTTTGTGGCTGTTTTTGTGCCTTTATTTGTAGCATGTGTTCATTTATTTACTTTATTTTCATTCTGCTTTTCTCCCAAAAAGGATCCCAAGTAGCTAAATTTAACTGTGGATTTCAACGACTTCCAGACTTAAGGGTGAAAAATGTGAAGCAATGTCCATGTTTTCTGACCAATAAAGCCACATTGCAACAGTTATTTAATGATTTTTATTTGCCTTAACAGCTGCTGCAATGGCTTAAAATTCATTAACAGAGAGTGTGACTGCTGTATGTGGAAAGGTTGCTATGTATTTGTTTTTTTTTCTTTTGATAGGAGGGTTAAAATCTGTTTCAACAAAGGACAAAGCCACCTATGCAGGTAGATGCACTTCTTTAGATTAAAAACATGAGATTTAAAATATTATTGGGTGATACTGATATACTGTAGTAAGCAATGATGCATAAAAATCAGCTTTAAAAAATAGTCAGTTTGTTCTCTTATGAGCCCCTGTAGTCTTCCAGACTGGGCATTTGACTACTCAACTGGCCCTTTAAGGAAAGGCAAAGAATTTTTTAAAAAATATATATATATATAACTGATATGGAGCATCAGTGATAGTCTACATACAGTCAAAATAGTTTTCAACTTCTTCTGCCCTCTGCCAAGGAGGAGAAATGATTAATTTGTCAATAACCTTAAGCAGCTTGCTTATTAAATCACTTATATTGGCAGGAGTCATTTCTGTGTGAATGGTCAGACTTGATTAAATTGTTCTAATCAAGCCTGACCATTCCCAAGTGAGACACACTAAGTGTCTCCTTACTGCTAGTGTAGTTGTACCCTAACACAGTGGTCCCCAACCTTGGGCCTCCAGATGTTCTTGCATCCTGCTGACCAGGATTTCTGGGAGTTGAAGTCCAAGAACATCTGGAAGTATTTCTCCTAAGGAGAACAGGATCCCCCCCCCTTTGAAGTATTTAGACAAACTTGGAAATGTTTCTTACACCCATTGTTTTTACCTTTTTCATCAGTGGACTGACAATTAAAAACCAGTATATCTAGTGCATAGTTCATGATGTGAGGCTGTATATGATACCAACCTTCACCAAATATGAGCTGTTCCATTTAAACAAACAAACAAAAAAAGATAATATGGAGAGAAAGAGGAATGGAGTGCATTAAAGATTCAGAATGCTAAACCTAGTAGGAAGAAAACTGATGGAAATTAAGGCCACAGGAAAGAAAAATAATTATTCTTGGCTAGTCATCATTAAATGAGATGAAAATAGAATAAGATGCATATAAAGAAAGATGCCAAATGTAGGAGAAGCTGCAGTTTAATGTTGCTCAGAGAAGTTCTAGAATCATAGTCGCTGCAGTGGTGGCACACATAGAATTATTGCGGCAGTTGGAAGGGACCTCAGAAATCATCCAGTCCGAAACACTGCACAGAGTGGGATCTTCAATACAAGTAGTAACTATTGTACCCCCAACCAATGGCAGTCCATCCTCTGTTTAAATGCATCCAAGGAAAAGCAGTCTATTATCTGCGGGAGACAACATTGGGTTGGATTCCAGATAAGATAGTATAACTGTAATACAAATGTACTTAGATATTTGTTTGATTGTCACAGTTTGTTCACAACTTTTATATTGAACAAAATAGTACAGTAGTTGTAAAAATCTGGGTAAAATCTATTGGAGCCGTCTTAGCATTATGAACACACCCTAGCCAAAAGCTTTTGCTGTAACACTACATTGTCTGATTCTCACTTGTTCTTGACTTTTTCTGTTATAGAAATCCAAGGTGATGATGGATGTGGAGGGGCAGGTGCTGCTCCAGCCTGGTGTCCCTGTGCCTCCTGTTGTAGCTGGTGGAAGTGGCTCCTGGGATTGCTCCTGGCCTGGCTGCTGCTGCTTGGGCTCTTGTTTGGGCTTATTGCTCTAGGTAAGAGGTTAAAACAGAAGGGATTCAGGGACAGGCGCTAGGTTATAGCTTAAGAAAGGGAACGGCTTTGTGCCTTCATAAGAATGTTGGCAGGAATTCCTCTGGAGGACAAAGCTGCATAGGGGTATGTTGGCATAATTCACATGCATAGCATGCACCAAAACATAGAGCACATGATATGCCCATTAATATCATGAATACATTTAAGAATCTGGGAAGAGGAGTAAGTATTACCACTCAGCTCTTGGATATGTGAGTGAATGTTTTTGGTGCCTCCAGTTGTATTTATTTGTCCTTCTGTTTTTTAGAATTCTTTGTCAGAGCTTGAAATAGATCTTGGTGAAGTTCCCTTTTTTTGACTATGATCCATTGGCTAGCAGCTTTCCTGAGCTGCAAAAAGTTGTCATATGTTTCTCTACTTTCTCTTCCACTCCAGCCGTAGCAATGATGGTAGAGCCTTCTGTTTTGAATGCCAAGGGCACTTTGTTTCAGACCAGAAGGACAGAAAATTGGCCAATCTAGACTGATTGGTCACCAGTATGTACAGTATTATACAGAATTTTCTGGAGTGGTAAATGTACATTTGCCAATGAATTCTGTTTTCTTCTTTGAAGTTAACTCTAAAATATCTGCCGTCAGCATTGTACAGTTCTAGGTAATTGTCTATAATTGTATTAATTGTCTAATTGCCATACTTTCCTCTTCAGGGACAATTTTTTAATGCAGTATGGAGGCATGGGGATTGCAAGCAATGTTTCTGGATTAAATTACAAATAAATATATTTGACCATTTGTTTTCACTGAACCTTTCAGCGGAGGAAGTAAGGAAGCTGAAATCCCGTGTGGAGAGCCTTGAATCCCGTGCCAATTATTGGCAAGTTCCTCCTGATAGTGACCAAAGTGTACATATAAGCAAGGATGCAAAGTATGCCAGACTAGGAGCAACACTGAGTGATATGAATGAGTATCAGTTATGGTCACTCATGAAGAGCCGGCTAGATACAGAGATAAATAAAGGTGAGGCATCCAAAGAATTATGTGGGTTTCAGTCATAATGCACTGTCTTTGTCAGAAACATGTTGACTTCTTCTGTGATGTCATTGCCTTTCCTAAAACACTGTTAAAATGGAGGGAAAGATATAAACAAGCTGGGTTACATAGGGTGAGTTAAATTCAAACCAGTTTACATCTTTGGGCAAATTAGATAGACATAACAGGAGAGAACACTGAAACAAAAAAGAGGACTCAAAAATTTGCAAACAATCAAGAATTATCTGCACTGAGAGAACACAGTCTTGCGGCATGTAAAGACTGATTACAGCAGAAGTATCTACGAGACTCCATTTCACCAGTTGCATGAGGTCAAGTAGACTCAAGTCCATAAAAGATAAATGTAGTGATAAAACTGGCAATAAATAAATTGTACAGTTAATCATTTGGCTTGTTTCGCTGCAGCAAACATAGCTTCTCTCAAAAGAGGATAGTATTGTTTATTATCAATGCACTTTAAAAAGAGTCGTCTTCTCATTCAAGTCAAAGTGCATTGTACCAAAGCCTGCCATGTTATTTTATTTATTGATTGATTTATTTAAAATATTTTTGCTCCACCTTTAACCTCAAAAGGATCCAAAGCGGAAAAATCCCACAAGGATCTTCCTCTTCACAGCAGCAGAAATGTAATTAAAACAAAGTAAAATAAAAACAGTTTGTTGCACTTTCACAGTCCTCCAAAGCTGCTGCCTGAGGCAATGCCATACTTTGCCTAATGGTGGGTCCACCACCCTCCCCTACCACAGGGGTATACCCCAAATGGGGGGAAGGGACTGAGAATTTCTCAGAATGTTTTTTAAGTGCTGTGTTTCTTAGAGTCACTGCAGTTTCAGCTGCAATAGTCTCCTTGCAAACAGTGACCAGTCAGAAAACAAGAGAAGCTAATTTGGTATTTTCAAAACTGGGAAACAAGCTCTATTGTTTCTCCTCCGGCGTTCTTCCAGGCAGGGGACTTTCTGTACTATTTTCTCCAATAAGAATACAAAATAGAAGGAATGATCAGAAAACACAGGCGGGTTAAAAATGAAGAACAGTGATATCTGGATCCTCTATAAAATTATGTGGATAAAAAAAGGGTAATTGTATGGGGTGGGGAACAAACTCATTGAAAGGATACTGGAATTAAATGCTCCAGCTTTCTAAACCACACATATACCACCTGATTGTTCTGTCATATGCTATAGTATTAACCAGAAAAGTTTTGCATTATTTTTGCATCTTATTGTCATTCTGATTTTTTTTCTTTCCAGGTTATTTCCGAGGGGAAAAAGGTAACCATTTGCTGAATTACTATTTTAATCTTTTATGGGAATTTCTTTTATTGTTCATAGATTTTTCAAACAAAGGAAAAATTATAACAAATAAAGAACTCTCCTGTCTTCCATTGCCTCCCAGAGTTCGGTCAAATTCATCTTGGTAGCTTTGATGACACTGTCCAACCATCTCGTCCTGTCTTCTCCTTCTCCTCCTGCCATCACACTTTCCCAACATCAGGGGCTTTTCCAGGAAGTCTTCTCTTCTCCTGAGATGGCCAAAGTATTGAAGCCTTAGCTTCAGGATCTGTCCTTCCAGTGAGCACTCGGGGTTGATTTCCTTTAGAATTGATAGGTTTGTTCTCTAGCCATCCAGGGGACTCTCAAGAGTCTCCTCTAGCACCACAATTCAAAAGCATCAATTCTTTGGTCCAGCTCTCACTTCCATACATCACTATTGGAAAAACCATAGCTTTGACTATGTAGACCTTTGTCAGCAAGGTGATGTCTCGGCTTTTTAAGATGCTGTCTAGGTTTGTCATTGCTTTCCTCCCAAGAAGCAGACGTCGTTTGATTTCATGGCTGCTGTCAGAATCTGCAGCGATCATGGAGCCCAAGAAAGTAAAATCTGTCACTGCCACCATATCTTGCCCTTCTGTTTGCCAGGAGGTGATGGGACCAGTGGACATGATCTTAGGTTTTCTTTAATGTTAATCTTCAGACCACTTTTCGCGCTCTCCTCCTTCATCCTCATTAAGAGGTTCTTTAAGTCCTCCTCACTTTCTGCCATCAGAGTGATATCATCTGCATCTCTGAGGCTGTTGATATTTTTTCCGGCAATCTTAATTCTGGTTTGGGATTCCTCCAGTCCTGCCTTTCACATGATGTATTCTGCATATAAGTTAACTAAGCAGGGAGACAATATACAGCCTTGTCGTACTCCTTTCCCAATTTTGAACCAATCAGTTGTTCCATATCCAGTTCTAACTGTTGCTTCCTGTCCCACATATAGATTTCTCAGGAGGCTGATAAGGTGGTCAGGCACCCCCATTTCTTTAAGAACTTGCCATCGTTTGCTGTGGTCCACACA